TTTTAATACCAACAGGGCATTTGCCCCTCTCCTCTTTGCTGTGCTCTCTCTGCTTCCCATCTGAGAGATGATGTGGGATTTATTGATCCCAGCTTTAGGGACTTGTTGTATTTATGAACCCAGACTGCAGTATAAAGGTACAAACACCATTTGAAAGGGGAAGATCTATATTGGAATGACAAAGAGAATAAATTAAAGCAGCCTCCCCTCTCTAATGGTCTGCGGGGCTGATGTTACCAAAGGGAATGCCCTGGTGCTGTCTACCTGAACCATGCTTGAAAGTCTCCAGCTTCAGGGGATTTTTCTTGAGCACTGTATTGATTTTTGTTACTACATTAAGCTTTTAGCTTTGCAAATGGTTTTCTTTGAAATGATTAATACTGCAATGCGCAGCTCGAGGGGTGAAATAGCTCTGCTGCTGTTGTGTAGGTAACAACTGCAGTCGCTTCCATCTCCCCTTCCTCTGCTGAAGCCCCTCAGCTAATGCGCCTGGAGGAGGGTGAGGAGAAGAGGAAGTAACGTGGGGAGCCAGGGTGGCCTCCGAGCTGGGTGAGGAATAACAAGCCTTTGATAAATGGAAGGCAATGGTTTAAGCTTTCTTGGTGGTTGTGAGTCTGGACTGGGGTTGGGGAGCTGGAGCTCAGCCTAAGGCTGGGGCTGGGGTCCTCGGGTGGGTCTGTGGTTGTGCTGAATGGATGTGGGGAGGCTGTGGCAGCTCATTAGGGGCTGAGAGCTGTCATCAGTGTGTTTCTTCCTGCTTGAACAAGGAATCTGAGATAAACTCGGTTATCAGGTAAACTCAGACGTTCTCACCTCAAGACTGAAGACAGTTAAGAGTAAATGGTGACAGGGCCCGACTGGAGGGTTGCTGCTAGCGTTGGACTGAGGTTTAAACAAGGTCTCAGGTTTTTCTGCTGTTGGAGAGATTAGCACAGCTGAGTCAGTAAATCCAGATGGCTATGGTTGTTTCACATCTCTCCAGCTCCCTGTTTGATGGGAGCTGCTTGCAGTCAGGAGCATATTACTGCAAATGCAGCTGTGCTGCTTGTAGCAGCTTATCCATCCATCCCCTGTCTCCTCCCTCTGTCACTCTGTCTTCTCTATGCCTGGCTTCCTGCTTCCAGGGCTGTCCCTCACCCCAGGGATATGGGGGAGATACTGCAACGTAGGTGGATGCTTCAAAACTGTCATCCTGTACCAAAGATTGCAGAGACACGCACAGGGATGCCCAGGCAGGGTGGGGATTATCCGCAGTGGGAATGGTCTCCTCTTGCACTTGTGAGGAGAGGAGGTTTATTGCTAGCCCTTTTGCTCTAGAGGGGGTGACTTGTCTCTTGGCTGTTTCTATTTGCTGTTGACTGTTTCTCAACCCCTTTAAGGGGGTCCCTCCCAACCCAAATCACAGTCTGTGATTTAGTTGTTAGTATTTAGATCCCTATCTAATCTCCATCCAGACAGCTCGGTCAAGAGGCAATTGGTCTCGTCACTAGGAGGTTCCTGAGGTTTGCTGACATGTGCTTGAGGATGTGACAAGCCTCCTACCTCAGCAAGTAGCAGGGAAAAAAGTCCCCCCCCAGTCCATTGGTGTGTCAAAACCTCCAGTTCTGTGTAAAGTTGTTAAATAAGCTTCCAGGCAAAATAAAAGATCAAAAGGGGTCTAATTAGCTGCAGTCTGCTCAGGAATTGTGGATGTTCACCTAGTTTTATAAATTGACACTTTTAACATTAGAACTCAAAGCAAAAAACGATGTAATTATTCCCTTTTTTGAAGCTTAGGTTTAATGTCTTTATTGAAAATTGGGTACTTCTATGGCATCTCAAGATGCTTTATTCTATCAAATCTGGAGCAAGTCATTTTTCATTTTGGATTGTAATGCGGTATAAATGATAAGGGCCTGATTCAGAAAGCTCCCCCCCCTCCTCCACAGGCAGCCTGATGAGAAAGCTTCGTAGTCACATCTTAATAACCCTGAAGATAATCTATGGTTTGAGTCTTTGTGAAGCTGCTCGCTTTAATACAAGGGAAGGAGTGAGATTTTTTGAGCTCTTAGTTAGGGTGCCCGAACCTGCCTTGTCATCACAGGATTTCTACTTCCTTTTATATCTTTTACCAGACACAGGATGCCAAAAGTGTATTTCTCCTACAACCTTTCTGGGCTGTGATCATGTCTCTGGGAGTGCTCCAGGTCTAATTTGAATCTTGGAGAAGGTAGCAGGTAGTGGAATGGAGAGCATCTGGTGGTTAAAGCAAAGGAGGACTGAGAGATAGATGAGTTTTGTTATAAATTCTTCAGTTTTGTTCTGATATGACCTGATCACATGTCTTCTTTCCCAGTCTCTGATCGTTTGGATGTACCATGTATGATTCACATGTTAAACCTCACTGCGGTGACCTCTGTAACCTAGAGCAGCCCAGATAGATGGGGAGGTCATCACGAAGTCGTGTGTTAGAGCTGGACTGGTTATGAAGTTTTTGTGCTGTGGCAGGACACGCAGGCTCCATTTAGAACCAGGGGCTGATGGTGCTGGCATTTCCCTAATGCACAGGAAGTCCTGGTGCCAGCCCTAAAGACCTTACCACCCATAAAGACAAATGGCAAGTACAGGATTTGTGTGAGGGTGGCTGCAGGAAGGGGTTAGTCCCTTAGTGAACTGTAGTCTTTTGAGGGATGTTTATCTGAAAGTTGATGCAAATGGAGGTGGGTTTCTTTGATCTGAGATTCTCAGGAAAACTCTCTTCTGTCATTTCAACTGCTCCCTGGCTTGTGTCAAACGTACCATGAGCGGGGTGTCCCCAGGGACTAGGCATTGCCCAGGTTGTAGCTGGGCTGGAGGGGAAGTGGGGCAGGGTTTGTGCATCAGAAGAGGGCTTGCAGTAAAGACATTTGTATTGGCATCTTTTATATTGTTCCAATTAGAAAGTTTCAGTTCCTGATGATCCTGCTGGGCATAGGTTCAAAGTTTCATTTGCACTTGGCTCGGCTCAGATGCTGGAGGAAACTTCCATGATGGGAGACAGATCCTTTTCCTTCAAAACCATAATGTCTCAATAGACATTAGGATTGGATTAGAGCTTCCTTTAAGGATCCAGTAGGGATTTGCTTGTGTTTTTCCAATTCTGCTTCTGTGATGTGGTGTGGTGATTAGAAGAGAGATTTTGAGGCATCCCTCAGGTTCTGAGAGTGGTCTGGCTACTTGCTTTTGTGGGTTCTGCAGTAATCAGAGCTCACTGAATGAGAAGCTTGGTACGTACATGTATTACTGAATCATAAAGGTTTTCCTGAGAGAACAGTGTTCATTCTTCATACTCCCAAATTATTTTATTGACTAACTAGTAAATAGATATTGCTTTCTAGCCCTGAGACAACTGCTCTCTGGAAAAGGTTCAGTTATTGTTTCTTTGTGCATACTCTATATGGACTTTGCTGCCGTGCAGCGTACGTATGGTCCAAGGCCTTTCTCATTTGCTACTTAGCAAGATGCTCAGAGGCTTTGGTGGAAAGAGATAGAGCCCAAAAGCAGCTCTGAGAGCTACTGCAGATTGATGCAAGGAGCGGGTGATGTAATTTGGTGGCTGGTGTAACATAAAGCTGCTTTTGTTAAGGAGTTAATGAAAGGGGAGTTTTAGCCTCTGTCCCACCCCGAGCAAGAGTAGGTGGGTGTTCTCTCTGGCTGTACGTTGGGTCGAGATCTCGACCTCCAGTGAACAGACTAATGTTGTGGAGCTGCTCCACAGCAGCTCTGTGCTGTGGGCTCGTTGCTGGAAGGGTTTATGTAAAGCAGAGCATCACTCCTGGGAAGCGGAGCTTGGACAGCACAAGCAGCTTGCATCTGGCTCTCATACTGCCAGGATGATCATTAAATAACACTTCAGTGTTGTAGAGCTCAGTGGTTTTGTTTTAAGTATTAAATCAAGATTTTCATTTAAGGGAATTTAGCTTAAGCATCTGGTTGCATGGCTGATGTAAGAGTACTGGAAGGCTGTAGAATTCCCAAAATGCATCAGGGAATGAAAGTCCTTACTATTTCATAAACTATACGAGATAAAAGTAGCTGGACTAATAGGTTTGTAATCTGTAACTGTGGGACAGAAATGTGTGCATATGTTAGAGGTGGGAACCCAGCACTTCCAGCAGAATACACAGCTGCTGTCTGAGGTGACAAAGTGATACGCTCTTGGCTTTTGCCTTGTATTTCCTGGGTTGGTTATACCAGTGTGCCTACTCTAGGTGTCTCCTTTAGAAGGATATTATTTTCCCCCTTTATCACTCCTCAGGAGCATGCAGGGCTTGTAAATTCCAGGTGGTATTTAACCCCTTCTAAAGTCACCTACGTTGTCTGACACGCTGTACAGCTGCCTCTCAAATCCACTATATTGCCTCTAGATAATGCCTGATGCCTCGGTGCCAATCCAGAAATTCCCAGAGTATACATCACCAGTCAGGTTATAAAGAGAGAAATTCTCATCTGAACAGAGGGTGATAACTGCACATTAAAGAGTTGGATTAGACGGGTTATTATATGTGTTATTACTAGGTTTTGATGACCTACAAACTAGGGCATTAACCATATAATTATGTAACTTATGATTACCTATAAGTGCTCCCTCTTCAAATGGCCGTTGCAAATTCGATCTTTCCTCTGCTGAAGTGACCTGTCAGCTGCTCCTTGTGATTCATTAAATATGTTGCAACTGAGCTATAATCATCATTAGTTTTACAGAGTACATCCAAACCAAGGATAACTGCTTTTGCTTTCACTGAAGCAAGCAGTCCTGGGTGTTGGTGTCTGTCTTCCTCACCCAGAGAAGTCTTCATCCCAAACACTTACAGTGTTTTTGGTTCTTGGGAGTTTCCTTGGAGCTTTCCAGAATCAGAAAGCCTCATGAGCGACGGATTAGCATGCAGAAACCAGAAATGGGTAAAACAATATTAACTTCTATAATTTCTCTTTTATAAACTCAATTTCAGATTACTTTCCCATGACCATTTTGTTTTCAGAAGCATTCATCAGAGCTCTAGGGTTTCGTTTCCTTTAAACTGACAACTTTTGGAATCAGACAAGATGCGTCTCTGCTGCTTGACAAGGTTCATATGTAAAGATAATGTTTCCTGTTAGACAAACTAGTATGGCTGGAGAGCTTAGGCAAAATTTGAGGCTGATGGGCCCTTCAAGTCTGAAACAGAAGCTTTCAGTGCTAAGTACGTGCTGAATAAGCAGCTGCTGGGGGTGTAGTTAGATACACATCAGTTAGACCATCTCGGCGGCAGGGGGAAGATACTGAGTACAGTTTTGGCTAGGTCATAGCACTGACTACAAAATATTGCTAGATTATTTGTAAGCATCATCTGGGACACAGATGAAAGGTGGCAGAAGTTTATGAGGAAGAGTCATTCTGTGTCTTAGGTGTGGGAGAGATGTATTTCTCCGGAATGATCTGCTAGCAACATATGAACATGAAGGTTCCTATTTCATGCTTAGGAGTGTGTGTCCTCCAGAAATGACTTCAATGTGCTTCACGTTTTCTTCCCTTTTAATCTCTGCAGGCTTTTGCAGGAAGCTCAGAAAATGGCTTTTACATTCACAGCTTTTTTCTGCTCTAACGCAGGCAGAATAATCTTCAACGTGGAAGCTGAAACCCTGTCCTGGGGTAGCACGTCCATGGGAGAAGGTCACATACAACTGACAATGCTGAGCTAGTGAGATCTGCTGTTCTGGTTTTGTCAATGATTACCAGGGCCTGACAAAGGTTCTACCATGAGCATTGTGGTAACTTCTTAAAGTTGATTGGGAGCTATTAAAGAGTGATAAAAATCAGATATTTCTGACCATGGTGATCAAAGGAGGAATTCAGTGGTACTACAATAGGTGCTTGGAGTTCTCCGGGCATTGCCATCGGTATTGTTTAATGACCCAAGTGCTATGGCTACGTTGGGTAAATAGCAGCTTTGGCAGGTATAGAGAAAAGAAGTTCTTCGGAGACAGGGGCTTCAGAGGGACAACATAACTCACTTGCAAACTGCCCTTGAACTCTGGTGGTTGTCACATTGTGACTGTCAGCCAGGAGGTTGATCCCACTTCCAGAATCCTGATTTATTCAGAATCCTGCATATTTCCTCTCTCGGGTTTCACACACGTTGGTTGTGGTCATCATGACGAGGGTCATTTAATGCTTCTGCCCTACCTATAGGAATATGATGGTTTGGGAGCACAAATCCTCCACTCTGCCACGCTGAAAGGCAGGACAGTCAGTGCTAGTCAGCTGGGAGGCTCAGTGCATGGCAAGCATTAAGCCAAGAGCTCGGAAAGGGGAGCACCAAGTCCCTGGCAGCACAGAACAGGTTTTCTTGTCCCATCTTGTCCTGCATCCAAAACTTACGGCCATCCTCACACTGCTTGGTGTGTGTGGAGCAGTGCTGGGGGGACGTTGCCTTGCTGCACCTTAGCCTGAAACCCCCAAACTGCCTCAACCCAACACACATTGGAGCTGCGTGAATCTCCTTCTTGTTCCCATTGCCCAGCCACCAGTAATTTCCCAAGCATTGAGTACATGTGTATGTAGTATTGAGTCATTTCTTTGGGGCTATTGTTTAAGTCTTCAAACCATGGAAGGAAACTGGGAGCCTGTTTAGATGTCACTAAAGGTCACTGGCTATTTTTACAGATTGTGTTAAAGAAAACCCAATCTGCACAAAAAGAATATTCAGATTGTGCAGTCAGGACTTTGAAAGGTAATTTTGCTGCCAAACTATCACAGATCTCTATGGATCAGGTGCACACTGAGTTTGCAGGGGCTCGTGGCTTGGCCAAAGGTGTGTTACTCTCCCTTTAAAGGATTCTTCCCTGGTACCACTGTGACTTTCCTGCCACATTCGAAAGCAGTGCTCTGAGCTATAGCACTGTGCTCTGTCCAACACTTGCAAGAGGTATCGGTTGTTGGGGTTTCTTAACTTGAGTAAAAGGTTTTCCTGTAGTGAATGAACTGCATTAGATGAAATTTTCACCCTAGTTCCAGCCAGGGCAGCATGGAAAGCTTTAATTTGAAAGATTAAAGTCAGGCAAGCCTAAGCAACCAGAGTCTTATAATAGTGAGTTTTGTCCTATGAGGTCGGGTTATCGAAGGGAAGTGTTTTTTTCTGTCTGTTTTGGTTTTGATGTCATTCCATCAAACATTTAATTGGGAGACACAGCATTAGCTTCAAACCCATTTTGAAGCAATGAGCATTAGTCAGACATAAACAAATGACTGGGGGCAACTGCATGAGTGCCAAGTGGTGGGAGAGATGTTAACAAGGGGCTTTGCAAGCTGCTTCCTTGAATGAATGAAGTAGCTGCAGAGCAGAAAGCAGAGCTGGCTCAGGCAGGGCTCTGGTGAGGGGAGCAGGGCTCCTATAGCATGCTGAAGGCACCTACATCTCCCAGTCTCAAGCAAGGTATGCGAATGCTCAGGGAAAGCAGGTTGGGGATGCTTTTGGTGTGCACTGGAGTGATCCAGGCAGGGACATGGTGGACTTTGACCATGTGGTGCGGCTGAGCAGTGGCTGGATCCAAAACCCTGTCAGCCTGCTCTCCTGGGAGCAGCAGAGGGGACATTGTGGTGCTCCAGAGGCAACTTAGGATGTTAAACTGGAGCTTATGAGGTTAAATTGGCTGTGAGGGACTTACTCAAGGTCTTAAGTCAGAGCAGAGCTGGAGGTTCATTCCCAGGTCCGTGGTCCCACCACTGGAACATGCTGCCCAGAATTGCTTGGGAATAGGTTTGGTTTTAATCTTTGCGCTGTTCTCCTTGCTGAGGTGCCTGGAATTTATCTCCAAAATATTCTGGAGGGGAAATGTGATCATAAAGCGAGAGCTCTGGGCTATGCGGGCTGCTTTTCAGGCTCCTAATGCCTTTGAAAGGGGGAAGTGTTACAAACCTGCCTCCTTTGGTTTCTGACAGGGAGAGTGATATAAAAAAAGGCAACAAAACCCAACAAACCATTTTAATCCTTTCCACTGAGTTCGTGGCAGCTTCAGCCTAACTCAGCCCACATTGCAGGAGCTTCGGGAGGCGTTTTATGTCTGTTAAAATGGATTTGGGTCTTTATTGCTTTCATGACCGTATCGCTAACTGGGGCCAGAGCCTTGCCCTGACTGACACGTGCAGTTATGCCCTCGGTGGCATAACAGAGACAGCTGCTGGGCCCTGGGTGAGGTTTGCTGAGCAAACCATGTGCCCAGCCTTGTGCAGCAGGGCTGAGCCTTCAGTTCCTCTCCAGCTCCTTACGCAAAACCCCGCGCTTCCTCTCGTGTATCTCTGGGGCCTCGTAAGACCCTTCCTCTTCCCAGCATTTCACATTGCAGCTGCCTGGCAGGGAATTGCCAGTCCTGAGCCTGCCCTTGTTGTTTTCCCAAGCAGAAGGAGAAGGCTTGAAGCTCCCTGACCCAGGGAGCTCATATCTGCCCTGTTGAGAGACATCCTCGGCAGGGGAGGGCATGGGTGCAGGCGAGGAGCGCCTGTGTCGGGCAGGCATCGTGCCTGCCTTCACCAGGCTGATGGGAACAGACAGGGACAAAGGTAAAGCTTGTGGCATGAAAAGGCTGCTTGTTGCAGTGTTTCATGGCCAGTGAGCGTGACCAGCCTTCAGGGCTAATTACCAAAGGAGAGAGAGGTATGTTCTTGTCAGCAGACCTACAGGGTTACTATTTAATGAAGCAGATATGCAGGTAGCTTGTTCAGTGGCATGAGCAAGTGACTGACTTGTGTCCACAAGGATGTAGGTGTGCGTGGCGGGGTGCTTCAGGTGGCTTTCAACCCCTGGTCTTCCCTCTAATTGTACTTGGGCAAAACTCTCCAGTTTTTCCTCTCTGCATTCTCAGCTCTCCTTTTCCCTTTTCCTACCCCAGCACATCTCATTTAATCCATCCCATCCTTTCATAGTTTTCCACCTTGCTTTTCCTCCCCTTTTTTTCAGTCCCCGATGCTAATTGGCATTGAACAGCGGTGTCATCACTATTTCATCAGGCCAGCCCCAGCTCCCTGCTCATGGTTTGTGGAGCATGTGTGAGCTGGGAGCAGCCAGCATCCTCGTGCTCTTGCATCAGGGTCCCCCACGGATCGCAGTTGCTCAGCACATCTGACAAGTGTTACTTGTCCTTTTCGTGGGACTGCCCGTGGAGGTGTGCAGGGGGTGCTGAGCTCAGCCAAGCCCTGGTGCTGTGCTGGCGGGGTTACAGCCAGCATAAGGATGCCTCCATGCTGCAGGAATCCCTTTGTATCACTGTGTCATCGTATGCCCAGAAATCAGTTGCATGTTAAGCCAGTGCCTGCTCTGGGCTCTGTGGGAGACATGAGACAAAACATGGCAATTAATCAAGTGATGGGGTTTTTTTTCCAAACTGGTAGGTTTGGGCAGACTCAATGGCTCTTTCTGACTCTTAAACTTGTACTCATACTCCTAATCTGAGTTAATACAATTTACTCCATCCAGTATCACCTCTCAGACTTATCCTGACTTTGAGACTGGCCTGCTATAGGGGATGTCCCTTGGGGTCTTTTTGTAGGAGGTTGGCCAGGGTAGGACAGCTTGAAAAAACATGTTTGACTTGTATGTTCCCTGGAGTTTGTGCAGTTTTCTCTGCACAGACCACATTCAATTTTTTTCCTGGGATATTAAGAAGACATATCTTTGGGAAGAGCCAACCTTCCTTTTGTTATCCTCTTTGTCTCTGAATGCTGCACAAACCACCTGATATGAGGCACTGAAGATGTTTTGGTGGCCAGTCGTGTGCTTGGTCTCAGTTCAGTCTGTCACCCACAGGAGGACATGGGGCTGGGATGCTAGAGGCAAAGCTGTGCTACCACATGGGTGCTCTGGGTCCCAGCCCTGTACTCTGTGTCTCTACAGAAGTGACATACTGTGGAAAGCAGCCCTTGCTGGCTCCAGGTTCGTGTCACCAGTCCACTTGTAGTGATGCCAGGAATGCACTTGTGCTGCTTCACACTCTCCATTTTTACCAACAGGATCCAGGCCAGCGCTTTGACTCCGCTGGTGACCTTGCGGGGGACATGGAACCACTGGCTGTCACAGCGCCAGAGGGAGCAGAGAATGCAACAGCATCGTCAGTCAAGGTGGAAGGAGGGGACAAAGCAGCAGCAAGAGGGGAGGTGGAAAGCCCAAAGGGAGCAGGTCCCGGTGGAACAGGTCCTCAAGGAGCAGCGGCAATTGTGGCGGAAACATGGGAATACCCAGAGGCAGAAGTTGCTGCAGCATGTGCCCGGGCAGCAGAAAGGATTGCAGCGTCACAAGCAGCCAAGGTGTTGCAATCAGCAATAGCTGAGGTAGACGCCCCACAGCCCCAGGTTCCCCCAGGTGCATCCTTCCCTTATCGAGGCTCGCATATACCCAATGGCCTGGGAGGCTGCAGCTCCAGCACCTTCAGCCTATGGGGAGAGATCTTCAGTGTGGAAATATTGAAAGCAATCAAAAAAAAAAAAAAAATCCCTGAAATTCCTGCTGAGAGTTTGTGCTCTTTTCCCATCTGGTTTCCCTCTGTCTTTCAGATGAGCTCTTTTTCATGGTAGCGGGCACTTTATCACGCCTGGTGTAGTTAAGGTTACAAAGCACTCTCCATTACAGCCCGCTGGCCACATGCTCATCCTGCTCCAAAGCATTCATATTTGGGGATCAAAAAAGGTCCACGCGTGGTGTTTACTCAGCAGAGAGTTTTTATTTGACATTTGAGCAATTATGTCTTGTGCGGTTCGTGCGCTCGCCGAGGTGATAAACGCGCCTTTCCCATTTGGAAAACCTGTCTGTTAACATTGACGACGTGGTGATGGATTTTCAGCAGGGCTGGGATTCGGGTTGGCCAGGGCTCGGTGCCCACTCCGAGCACCACATTGTCGGATGTGTTTGGCACCCAGCAGCTCCCCATTGGGTGTGAGACCCTTGGCCACATTTGTTCCCATGTGTGGAGCTCTTTTGAAGAGCTGCCTGCCTGCAGCACCACTGAGAATCCACCTTCTGCTCGCAGGGAAATCTGGATCTCATCTCCCTAGGCTCCGGTTTCATTTTGGTTTGCAGGGTCAGCTTGTTGCTAGCACTGTTTCCTGGGCCCCAGAGCTGTCCTGAGTGCATGGTGTTGCTGGAGGATAATCTTTTAGCTTACCCCCCCAGTTTCGGGGCAGGAAAGGCTCTTCAGTGTGTGTTTGAGTTCCAGTGTGGTTTTACGTCTTGTGGAGGTTGGCTGGATTTAGGCACACAATTTAGGCAAACAATTCTCTAAAGCAGCCTGTGAATAGGAACCTTTATTTTTATATATCAGCAGCTTACTTTCTAGTGACCCTCCAGCACTCATGTATTTATTCTCTTGACTTTTCAGCTCAAAGAGAAGAGGAGCAGCACGTGGCTAAAGCCAAAGAACACCACTCAGCAGCAGGAGGAGGACTGGGTGGAAGAGGGAAAGGTGAAATGAAATGAAGGAGAGCTGGTGTTCTGGACCATACCTGATGGGGAGCAGGTACCCTGGCACCATGACAGCTCCTCAAGTGCAATAGGGCTGCTGGTTACATCTCTTTTGTGACTGCCCATGCTATTAAAAATAAAGATATGCCATATTCCACACCCAGTTCAAGGTCTTTCTAAGGCCCTTGTCTCCTGGTTTTATGAAATGGCAGCTCTACACCTCTTCCCCAAAGATAACCTAGAGTAAAGTGTGCTGTTCATGCTGGAAAACAAGCTCTTGGTATGAAACTATAGAAAAAAGATGCTGTAAATGTGGGGTCAGGTTTGTGTGCCTGTAGGCCAAGAGATGGTTGTGGGAGCACAGCTAATGTCAATTGGTTTCGCATCCCAGCAGGGCAGGTGCAGGCTCCAGTCTGCTTGCTCCAGCTCTGATGGGTGTTTCTTGCCTACATGGGAATGGTGGGTTATCATCTCTTTTTTTCTTATTTATTTTCTAATTCTGCTTATTCATCTGGAGCAGGGAATGGGGAAGGTCGCTCCATCCACACTGATAATGGTAAAGTCATGCAGAAGAAAATGAGGAAATGGGAAACAGCATCTCCAGAACACAGCGGTGGACTTGCCAGCATGAATGACATTCCCCAGGCAGTGCAGGATGATCTGTGAAAGATACCCCTGTTTTTTGAGAGGAAAACCATTATTTGTTGTTTTTTCAGCCTCTGAGGTGTAGGTAAGTCTGTGTTGTAGTAAGAGGTGGTGGTGGGCACCCAGAAGTGGTGTCATGTTGGTGGCAGTTGTGGCATCGTATGGAGCCATTCTGTGTGTGAAATGTGGGAACAGACCCCTGATATAACGGGAGGGGAGGGTGTTGGGGATCTACTGCCTGGTGATGAAGGTCTCCCTCCATCTCCCCCTCGGGAACCGTGTCCTTGTGTCACAGCAAAGTCGAGGGGTTCGGTGCCAGGCCCGGGTCCTGCAGCACCCCCACATCCAGTGCACCTCTGCTGGCTTCTTCCTGTGTCTAGTGACAGGCTGGGGAGGAGAGAACAGCAGCGTCTGATTAAACCTCAGCCCCCCTGGCCCTAGATCTGAGGAGGCAGAGCCCGCCCTCCCTTCCCTTACCATAATTTCATTTTATTACAAAAAGAGCCCGTATTAAAAAAGCTCATGATTATGTTTTCTGTTCACCAAGACTTTTCCTGTATTCGACCTTTGGATAACCTCCAAGGCTTGCAAACATTTGAAAGGAGTAAAGGAGCTCGTTTTATTGCAGGGCCTCAGCATACATTCTTTCCAGCCTATCTTTAACATCAGTTGACAAGAATTATATAATTGCAGTCTGTGATCCCTTTAAGGCTAAAATGTATTCGTTTTCCCTCAAAGAACACTTCAGGTTTCAGAGTTAAATGTAGACTCCCCCCCCCAATCTGGGTTATTCTGTAAAAAGCTGTTTTCTCTTAAACTGGCAAATCTCATTCCACCAAGTTGCATGGATTTATTTTTTACTGTGGTTTTAAGCTCACATGTTAACAAGTAGAAGAAATAGCCTCCAAATCCCAACCTGTGTTTGCCATTCCATTGGAAAATTAGTGGGTTACAGAGAACACGCAGGGGGAATTATACTCCTTAGGTGGAATCAAGTAAAATTTCAACATACTGGTTTAATCAAATTAGTGTCTAATGCTAATTGATAGGCAGTCTGGAGATGGACAGGTAGCTGGATTGGATTTGATCTTGCATTTCAGGGGCATGACATAATCTGGGTCAGGAAGGAATTTCTGGTTTCCTATCAGAATGGCATCTGCCACCATGTTATAGGAAGCCATTGACATAGGATACTTGAAGAGGAGTCAGGGAATGATGCCAAGAAAGAAGTCTGAAGATAATACCTGGAATTTAAGAAATGACTTGGCTGTTCCCACAGTGACATTCCATTTGCATTCGTTCCTCACCGTGCAGGGTCTCGCTCGTGCTTGTGCTCCTGGAGAGTAAAATAAGCTCATAAAGGTGGGAGTATTCCTGGAAGCTTTCCATGGTGGTTGTGTCTGTGTGTTGGGGCCGGTGGTGCTCAGATGCTCTGCTCAGGTCCTCCACAGTGATGCCACCATGGTGCTCTGAGCATATCCATGGTGCTCCTCGAGAGTGAGTGTGAAGTTCAAAGAAGCTGCAGTAACCCCTCACCCCTCCAGCGCTTCTGGACAGTGGGAGATGAAGGGAGCAGCAGCCTGGTCATGGGTGTTCACATGCAGGAAGGGAAGTTAAATTCATCTGGTGAATTGGCTATTAGGGATGATTTAGCTGGTTGAAGCTGGAGGGGAGACTGGACTCAATGGGCCGATTGTCTGCCCTGGTACAGCAAAGGAGCTGGGTGGAGTTGAGACCAAGAGGTTTTGAGGGGTTTTGGGGTTGTCCTTAGTCTTGCCATGGACTCACCCCAGACCTGGGATTCCTTACTGGAAAGGAGGACAGCGGCAGCCAGCGTGCTGCCTCCGTGTTCCTTCATCTAAGCACTTGAGGAAGTGCAAACTTTTATTCCAAATAACGTTTGCCAGTAAAAATGGGTCCCTTCTTCAAATATTTGGTTAATCTAACACTGATTGCCCCCATTCCCTAAGGGGAGGAGGCAGCAGGGGCAGCATTCCTGGTTTTATAGAGGGGCAGGTTTGAAAGGGCTGTAAATGCATGTGGTGGGGGTTGGATACAATAACCTCAGAGAGAGGAGCCAGGAACAGAATCCTTTTAATGAACTACAAGCCCACAGTTTATAAACTTGGACACAGATTACGCTCCTGCCTGGTGTATAAAAATAACCGCGTTTGGGTGCCTTTGTGGCCAAGGGATCTTATAACCTGTTAAGTTTTCGCTGCCTGTTTTTTCTAGCAGAGGCAGGACCTGTGTAATACCCTGCGTTGCACTGAAAGGGAAAATCTCCGGCCCGTTAAGCTGTTCCCTGCCTTTGGTAGCCTCTCTGTATCAGGATTCACATTCTTGTTTCAGTTTCAAACGGGAGACTAGTTTACAAGGCAAGTTCCTCCTTGGAGATCACAAGAGGCTTTCTTTCCCCTTTCTTTTTCTGAGAGGAAGGATTAGGTCACCAGTAATACCGTTTGCTTTTTATTTTTTTTCTCCTTTGGCTAATCTGCTCTCCAAGATGTCCATGTTACAAGAGAAATAAAAGGCTTAAGTGAGCGCGGGATTTCTTCCCCTCACCTGAGCACTCCAGCCAAGAAGGGTGATTTGCAGAAATCGCTGCATGGAAAAGCCCTAAACCCGAACTTCAGATGCTTATAAGACAAAGCTGAAAGATAGCAGAGCAGCAGGTGCCATCTCCTTACATTGCAGGGCATGTTCTACCTGCTCTTAAAGAGGTTGGTGGATGGTGATTATGGATACGGCTGCAGTGCATCCGGGTGTATTGTACCTGCACGCACAGCTTTGTGCAGTCCCTCACCTGCAATCAGGAGGCTTATCATCATTCAAAGACCCTTATTTTCTATTATCTTCATGTATTGTGTGTAGTGCAAGCATTCATTTGAAGATGTGCTGTTTGAACCTGGCACCCTTCCTGGTCACTGTGCGCTGTACAGTGCTTGGCTTCACCCGAGGGGAGGATTCGTACAGACGCCGGCTCCTCTATGCAGAAAGTTTTGGGACTTTAAACAAAATTACTTTGGTCAGAGCACACTGAGCCTGATTATTGTTTTAGTGAAATCCGTATTGTTACTGTTCAAATACCAAGTACTGGTACCTGGTTTTGGTAAGGCACAAGGATTTTGCAGCACTAAGTATGAATCTGCGTCGGGGAGTTTGTACCTAGCACAGGAACAGCTTGTTCATGCTGGTCACATTACATTTGGCAACCGATGTTTAAAGAGCCAGGTCTGTCTGGATTTAAATCAGCCCAGCTCCGCTGAACTCTGCGCCAGGCTTTGCCAACCAAGGTTCTGCCACTCAGATGTTTTCAGCTATTTTTTTCAGTCCTTTCTTCCCCAAGAGTTTAAAAAATGCAATTAAATGGACAGTAATACCCAGCAGCTAGGCATAAAAAGCTATTTATCTAAGGATATCAAAGTACTTGACAAAGGTGGGTAATTCTCACAGTGCCCTTTTTCTGCAGGGTGGGATGCTGGCACGTAGAGACAGCGAGCAGTTTATCTGAGGAGCAGAGTCGGTAGCAGAGGTAGTAATTAAAACTTGGGTCTCATGACACCCAACTCTGTACTGTAACCACCAGACAAACTGCCTCCCCGAACCGTATCTCATCTCTATCTCCCTACATATGCACAATAAAGCCTTTGTAGTATATGCTGTACACTTGCTATTGATAGTTGTATCAGCTGAAAGATAATGCTTGCTCTCCTCACCGGCTGCGAGTGTGCTCCGTGCAACCTCAATTATCTGAACAGAATGGGGGAGAGGAGGAGAATTTGGGATAATTGAGGTTTCAAATAATTGAAAAGAGCTTTTGGTGTCATTAACAGGCACAGTCGGGACACAGCATGTTTTGGAGAGCAGGTTTGGATAACTGGTGTCGAACTGTGCCATCGGTTAATAACCACCATGCTATGGTTTTGGTTTTCTTTTATACTGCAAGGAGGGGTGTCTCTTCCTTGCTTTGTTTTGGAGGTAAAAAAGGATAAATGTGTTTCAGATGTGTGTTGCTGGTGTCCCTTTAAGGTTGGTGGAGACCAACAGCCATCCTGCTGTTAATGGAAAGGCACTTATAGACATGGGGAGGTTAAAACCACCCCTCAACAGGCATTGTGAAGCCCAGACGGTGACGGGGGGTGGGCTCTGTGGGTGGCTCAATGTCCACAGAGAGGCAGGACCAGAGAGCATCTGAAATATAATTTCCCCTGCATATGCTGTAAACTGTGGGATTTCAGCTGTTAACGTGCTCCATGCAGACAAACAAATGCACGGTTACTGCAGAGACATGTTCGTTTATGAAGATAAAGCATGACCCACAGGACCTGCTTGCAGCGTCTTTACAGTGAGAGCTGACCTCCCTGTGATGGAAACCTTTACTAGAGCAACTGTGCTAACTTTCACTGTGCCACCCATCCCTGCCTGCCTTCTATGCGGGCTCCTTTGTTTCTAAACAACAAACAACAGCATAAAAAGATGGGATGAAGTCTGCAAAGTGCAGCACGGAGCATCCCTGACCCTGTCCAGCTTCTGCTGTGCCGCACGCTCCCACCACAGCTTGTGTTTTCAAAGCAGGTCTGTCCTCTGCCTCCCACCAGATGCAGAAATTAAGAGCAGCCTCTGCTCTTGAAGCTGCGATGAGCTGACAGATGGGTGCAGGTAAGGCTGGCAGACCTTCAGGAAGGGATTAGCTTGGTTTGGTTTTAATGAAGTGCAGTATTAGGTAAAGGATGGCTCTTCACACCAGCCTCATGGTTCATCCTGAAGCATTAATCTACTCTGAGATTACCAAGGCAGTTACTTGCCCCCACCAGAGAACCCCGCACATGTGTTCAGATTAGCACCAAAACCACAGTCTGGTTTGTATCTCTCAGCTATTACCTGTGAGACAGGATGTGTTGGTACCTGGGAGCTGATGTCTGACTTCTGAATAGTCCAGTCCAATCTTATTTGCTTTAAATCATGATCTTAACTTTTCCCCTGCAAGTCCCCAGTGCCTGGGCTCATCAGCTACTTTAAAAGCCTGAAGAAAAATCTCTCTTTTCTTGTGTGTTTCAGTGCTTAGCCCAATATGCCTGTTTG